ATTTTGTTTGTTTGTTTGTTTTTAGCCATGGTATGCAATGAACAAATGTAGTTTTGGCAGCATTTGCAGCTTTTATGTTTATTGATGTTAAGATTACAAACAATCCAATGAAAAGAAGCTAAACATCTCAAAGAAGCTGGATGTATGTTTACAGGTATCTTAAGCACACAGGAGGATGCTCCTGCTTTTATTATCTCTCTATCTTTCCTGCAAACCAGCACTGAATTTCAGACTCCCTAGATGCTTCTTGGGAAGTTGTTTGAAGGTTTTTAGCAATTTTTTTTTTTTTAAGTTCACAAATTGCATCAATACGTAATGTAGATGAGAACTGAAGCGTTAGCAGCTTGCTAGCCAGGTAGTTTCAGGTGAAAAATTGAAAGTCGCTGTTGCGCAATTTTATAGTAAAAGCTATTCAACACAACCGTTTACCCAACTTATCAAATGTCTGCATCATTTTACAGAACAACTCACTTTAACTCATCCCATGTCACCTTGGCAGACCAAACCCCCGTCGGTGCCAAGAACATCATCACCTTTTTGCCGTTTAACTCCCAGCACCGTGGAGTTTCCATGTACCCGCGCTCTCTGACTCAGCCCTGACCGAACTTGCCCTAATTGCTCTTTCTCCGAGAAACAGTCTCTGAAAGGAAAAACCTCAAGGTGTACCTCAATAAAACAACAGCCACAACAAGCATTCTTTGAATATTCTGGCCTCACCCACCCAGCTGAGGGCTGGGATAAAGGGCTGACCTGATAAGGTCTCATTCAAGTCAGGGAATTAAGCAAAAACATGGTGGATCTAAAACATTTGAAAACAAAGTGTAACCCACAGACTTCATGGCAGGTGGTAGGGAAGAGAAAGACTGCCAAGCAAAATAGCCACCTGTTTGTTATAAAGTAAAAATTCCCCCAATTCTCAAACTGGCAGAGAGATGAAACCCAAAACAAACCACTGCATGAACCAACATTATTAGAATCCAACCGTGCCACCAGAAATGCAGACAGGTTACAGACAGAGGGGTGAGACTATAATTTAGGATTCTTCCCCTTTTATACACTCTAGAAAAGGAGGAACCAGGACAGAAGATGCATTGTGCACATACAGTGGGGAATCACTTCCACTTGAAGTCAGTGGTACGGCACCAAGAGGTGCAACAACCCAGGACAAAATGAGCTGTGACACCTCCAAAGACATTCAATTCAATACACAAAACCCCACTGTTCTTTAGTGTCCCCTGTTGATGTGGTATCCATATCTGACACCTAAATGTGAGACGAGATGCGACCTGGATCCTACAGTTAGGAAGTCTGAGAAAATCTTTTCCCCTTTGCATCTACACAAATCACAAAATGTTAATTATAATGGCAAAGAGAAGCATGGTTGTGTACATGGGATTGTACTGGGATTCAAAAGAATGCTGGAGAGAATAAAAAACTCATCTGAACTTCCACTTTTGGACAAGAGACAGTGTTTTGTCAAAAGAAAGTATTGTTGCATGGAGACATAGAAAGAGCTGATTAATGTTACATATTCAGGCAGCAGAATAAAAGAATGAACTGCAGCAACACGAAGACTCCAAAGAAAACAGCTGCTACAGATTTCCAGTGTACATGTTGGGAAAGGAATAACAAAACAAAGGAAAAGCACAAATGCAAATATTCAGTGAGACAGCACTATGTGGCTACCTCTTGCTTGAAACAGCATTCAACATAGCAGACCTGTCAAACAAATCTTGCTCTTCAAGATGTAAATGGCCATGACACAACACCAACAAGCAAATAAGGCACTCTGAATGATTCAAAGAGAAACTGTTGTTTAGAACTTGTTTACACCCCACGCAAAAGTCTTTTCTTAAACACAACCCATTCTGAAAGACGCATGAAACAGAAAGATCAGGAAAATTAGAGTTAAGGGACGCAAGAACTGAATGTTTTGATACGACTTCTGAATTTCACAGATCCCACATTCCTATCTCACATTCTGAGTCTTCTTGTCCATATGGGTAATACTTAATACTTCAAGTGTTACTGCCAATTCTTATACAGGTCTCACATCTGTTTGGTAGTTAAAACAGGTGTCCAAGCTGGCAGCTAACATTATTTTCTGAGATTATTCTGGGTCTGTTACATGGAAATGATTATAAATCACATGAATAAAAGCCTGAACATCATCAAACCTAAGGATAAATGTTCCAAAGGGACAAGAAGGCAAACGGTAGAAAAATCTGTTAAGGCAAAACCTTTCCAAACCTCAAAAAAATAAAGCTTTAACTCACACATGGCAGGAGATACAACCACACTTCCAGTATCACCATGGAAAAATGTACTTAAAACAGCTATTTCTTGATATTCTAAATACTGTTGTTTCAACTTGTCTGACAATAACTTGCTTTTCTGTATTTATTTTTTTTTAAACAGTTTACTATTGTGCAGAGCACAGTGACTACTAGAGTTACTCCCTGCTTCCTACTGCAGGGATTTTAGTGCTTGGATATCATGCAAAACTGATGAGAATAAATTTACCCAGTGCAAAGATGCACAAATAGAAATGGAAAGATGAGAAGCAAATTTTTTTTTCCAAAATCCTTTAGGTACATCAAATGCACACATTTCTCACTTACTCCCTCTCCCACTCCCCACTTTAATGTGACTTGCTAAGGAAAGATACCCATCTTCTCTCCCCCATCCTAACAACCTGTGAAGGTGAAATTCAACCAGATTCAAGCAAAGGGTAAAGCTCAGTAATCTATCATGGTCCTACTAATTATACCAAATTAGAGATTTGCGAGAAGGTCCTACAGTACTTCTGTCAAGTTGAGAAAAAGTTTTTTCTCCAGAGAAGCAGCATTGGAGTGAGCTCCATTACATTCCCCTACTTCGGGCAAAGCTTGAGCTAGTATCTGAGCATTACTGCACAAGGAAGAACACAACCAGAAGACACCAATCCCTAAGAGAAAAAGATTTAATTATTTCCGGCACTCAAGAAAATGCTTGTTTCCATGTTCATAACTTTGAAGTGCAGGAGTTTACCACGATCAAACAGAATACTTTTGCATGCTTTTCCGCAGAGCCCCTATGAGAATCCTGGCTTCGACTTCACCTCTCAGACCAGAAAGACAAGAAATTGCCAATGTGGAGGAAAGGCCAAAGGAAAAAAAGACCTGTTTTATTGCATGCACACAATTTCAAAATGGTATCTCTAGCATTTCAGCAGAGCAAGTATATTATATACCATGAAAACATCACTTCTGCAAAGGCTGTCACCGTGTCACCTTAATTTTTGAATGATGGCCAAAGAGAGATAACTCAGTCATAGTCAGGAGGTGTTGAGTGTCCATTCTTGTTGTACAATGCACTATTTTAAAATAAGCAATCCAAATTAATACAGATTTTGATCAGAAGCAGCCCCTGTGTTCTAAAGAACTCTGTTCAGTAGTGAGTAGGTGGAAGAGGGTCAAAGAAGTAGGCTTTACTTCTGAATACGTGTAGCTAACGTGGTAGTTAACTATATCTGAAAACAGGTCTGGAGCACACAAATAGAGCCACAGCAGATACATTTGACATTCACTGCACATGGAACAAGAACAGTATTGGTCTAACTTTATAAAGTCATAGTAATATTGCTATATAAGTCAATGTCATATTACCCAATGATAGTACTTCATGCTTTTGAATGAAATCTATCAGACATATTCAGTTGCAGCTACAGGAATATAACTAAAATTGAAGAATTTCAGGACCTTAAGGAAGACGCCGAAAGGTACCACGTTAGCCCTTTGAAGCACATCTATTTGCTCTCTCATGTTGTGTGTGCACTAGTGTGAATAATCAGGTAATTAGATTTCTGACCTATCAAAAGGACCATTTTATAATTGAAGTACATAAACCAGAGGCGGTTGAGGATAGTGCCTGTAAATAAACTATTGCAATCTTTCTAAAATAATGAGGCCCTAAACTGTTGAAACAGCAGAAATACTTCCATGAAATATTAATAACAAAGCAGTATGACATACTCAGAATTGATAATGAAACCAAGAAGCAAACGCACAATTAAGCAAATTACTTCACAGGAAATTTTCAGCGCCGTTGAATCAGCTTTGGGGCACACATAAAAGTCACAGTGCAGGCGGGACAGCAGTGGCATTTCCTTCTGGCCCATTGAGCTCATTTTGTTGTACCGTTTCCTGGGGACAGACCTAGGATGGGTGGGGAGATGAGGGTGTGTAGCCTCACCACCATCACCTCCACCATCACTCCTGGGTGCAATGCTAGGTGTGGGTAATGTGGTGGAAGAGCTGCTGCACAGCCACACCTCCTGCCCTCTCAGCATTAAGGTGGAGCACAGTCCAGTAAAAGGTAAGAGACAGAGACAGTGGGAAAGGGGATACGTTTCAAATGCTCTATACTTTCCCAATACAGAATGTTCACTTGAAAATACAAGTACACCAGTCCTTGTTCAATACAGACAAAAAAATCTAGAAAAGGACATAACCATTTACTGCACAACAGGTATTTATCAGTATTTCTTACGTGAAATGGTCATTTACAAAGTATTTCAATAGACTTCAACCTAGGTACACATGCTCAGCTACTGTAAACCAGTCCATGCTGAAGCCTTGCTGGAGTAGCACCAAGCTGTACTTCACTGTAAAGGATTTGGAAACATGAAATAAGAAACTTTAAAAGCCCTAAGCACTGCCCATGCCCTAAAATAAGTGATTTAAGTGATTAAAGGTATTGTTTTTATTCATGTGCTTTAATGCTAGTAAACAAGAAAAAAAAAAAAAACATAACTAAAATAGTTGATGCTCAGGGCTAATGATTGGAAAACACAAAGTAGTTAAGAAACATTACAGAAAGCACGATCATTTCCCTCTTCTGTATGTGCTGTACATCTTCCACTAAATTTTTTAACTTGTGTACATATTACAGTTATGAATTTAAACATTTAAAATAAAAACTGCAGGAAAGAGGAGTATAAATGCAACACTAGTACTTACCCTTATATCTCCATTTACAGCTCTGGAAGTGTGATTAAATGCATGTGCAGGATCTTTGTTGTAAACTTTAAGGAAAGACCGGTCTTGAATATTCCTGGAATCAAAAGAATCAGCAATGATAACAGATGAAAGTAGTTTTATTTACTTTATAGCCTGAAAGTTTCAGGTAACAGACAAACATGGTAGGTCTGCAACCAACCTATAAGAAAAACCTAAATGCCATAGCTTAGACACACACAAACAAAAGCCTACTTTGATTCTCTTTCCCATGGGAAGTATCATTCTTTCACTACCACTCCACACCCATAAAAATTAGATAGTGTTAAGTTTCTTTCAAGATCCTGCCATAGAGTGAAAGCACTTTGAAGACAATAGAGCTTCAACATTTGCACAACGCTCAAAAGGATTTAGTTAATATTTACATGTTTTATTGTGTACTCAACCCATGTGAATTTTTGCTATTCTAAGAAGCAAGGATATAAAAGAAAAGTCTTTCTAACTTCAGTTACTCAATTAACAACTTCTTCACAAATCTAAAAAAAAAAAACAGGTAAAAACTAAAAATTCAGGAGCAGATAAATCATTCCTCTAAACTTTATCTATAATAAAGATAAGGTTTTAAGGGAAAAAAAAGGAAGCTAAAAAGAAACAAACAAACAAGTTTTGATGAAATCTACCATATAAATGGTTTAGAAAGAAAGCCCTAAGAGTTTATTTTATTTAATTGAATACTTTGTCATTCACTAGTTCATTTTTAAACTATCACTGTTAGGAAAGAGTTAGATGACAGAAGTTTTCTATTCTGTTTCAAAACCTACCTTCTGATTATTTTATGGCTTAGAAATTTGCACTGAGATCTGCTGATTTCTTGTTCACATTTAGTCAGTAGCAGAGCCTCCAATCTATGCTCACTTACATCCTTTCAAAGCTGCGATTCCTTTCATTTCCCACTAGTGATCTCTAGAGAATTTACTCATACATGTGACTGAATTCCTTTCCTCCAGGTGCAGCTACAAGTCTAGTGAACTGATCCTAATCACGGGGATTATCATTTAAAAATGAAGGAAAGGATGCTTGGGCAGGTCCAATTTCTTTCTTCCAATGTCATATTATAACCAGTGATTCCAGTGATTGCTTTGAATGGGTAGCTAGTCAGAACTTGTGCTGCTGTTGTAGATGTCAAGTAGTCATTAAAGAAACTCACAGCTAAGAGACAGATCAGCGCCTTCTGTTTAAGAACTGCAGGGGCTGATGAGAACTTTAGTATTTATGAGTGTTTACTTGCAGACTGCATAGGAAAATAGCTACCTTGTGGCAAGTTCAAGTTCTTCAATTATTTATGGTAATGTAAACTGTTTTCCATCTTACAAACGTGACTCTTCTGCTCTGAGACTTGCACTGGGATTCTCAGTTACCGTTTTCTGCCTCAGACTTGGAAATATGTTCCTTTTGATACAAAGCTAACTCTTTCATTTTCACCTAGAGAAATACTATATTTTTCATATAAATGAATTTTATCTGCTGTCTTTTTGCTCTGATGGCTATGAGATGGCACCTCAACTAACTGGAGTTTGTTTTAAAAGCGTTCCTCATAAATACTTCTTGTAGGAACATGACACTTTAAAGTAAAACATTGCTGTAAGGCAAATCACCAAAATACTAGGCATTTGATCTCTGAAGTGAATTCTATTTCACCTCATGTTGCTATTCTAAGATAAACACCACTGATAGCAGGTATATATTACTGCATGTTCATTATTACTATTATTTGCATTACTGTAGCTTCTCGATGCCCGTGGCATGTTCAAAGGTCTCATTGATCTGTGTGTGCTGTATAAACACCCTAGGAAAACAACCCCTTCACCAGCTTACAAGATGAATATAAGACACAAAAGACAACAAGATAGCTGCAGAAAGATAAGGGAACAAAAAGGCATGAGAAGACCATAGTCTTTCCAGCCTGGTGAGCGCTAAGCGGATCCTGGCACCACAGTCGTGTGTTGAATAGGCAGTGCAACAGAAAGAGGGGAAAAATGGGACTGGAAGAACAATGTGGTGGCTTTGCGGATATTTGTAGATGACTCCATCCAAGCACATTAGAGGGCTGCCGAAGAGGGAGCATGAAGGCACTTGTTTGAAAATTAAAGACATGCACAATGAAAGTTGGCATTATTAGCCAAGTGGAAGCAGATGGCACTTGGTACTGAAGAAGAAATTAAAAGAAGTACTGAAGTGGGCTTGGAGGGGCCCTCATAATGAAGACAAGTAGTTTATATTTAATGAGATGGAGGAGATACAGTCAGAGGACAAATGAAAAAATACATGTGAAACAGTGTGCTTGACAAACTAGGAGAATGATCTTTGTTGCTTCATTTGAATGGGTAAGAGTGAACGAGATTACCTTCATCAAATGTCAAGAAAAGAACATTACAGCAGCTGATGCACAAAAAGCTACATGTTAAAAAGCTGGTGTTAAAAAATGTTACTAAGCTGATAATTTAGTCAAGTGTTTTTTCACTGCAGGGTGTGAAAGGAAAGGCTGCCTCAAAGTGATGTTACACAGAAAAAGAAAAAAATCTGAAAAAATCTGCAGTGGGTGCAGAACCCGGAACGGGATTAAGAAAGTTTATGGACTTAAGAAGCAAGTGAGTGCTTTATTTTTTATTTTTTTAAGTGAGAGAGATAAAAGGAAATAAAACTGGGGGGGAGTGGGATGGCCTCATGGTCTAATGAAGGAGGAACATAATATGAGCTAAAACAAGCAGTCCATGAAACCACGTTAAAAAAGAGGACCAAGATTTTAGTTTGGGCAAAATAGGTAAGTTTCAAGTCCAACTGCTCACATTCACAGGGAAGACATCAACAACAGGACTAGGTTCACTGGCACGTATAATTTTGCATACCATTTTACAAGATGAATCATAACCACCTCAAATGTGGATGTAAAAATCTCCATTTGGCGAGATGAATCCCTTTGTAAAGCAAAATGGGATAGTTACCCAGGTAGGTATGATAACCCAACTAATCCACAGGGATAAGATGATAGTGAAAGATACAGACAGAGAAAGGGAATGAGGACAAAGCCCTGAAAAAAAAAATACAACAGAAAATCAGTGCTCGAGAAGACAAAAAAGAGAGGAGAGAGACAGGAAGAAATTCAGAAAAAGCAGTTACTGAAACAAAGGGAGATCAAAGTTCCAAGAAGAAAGCATTAAAAGTATATGACAGATCTGTGAGAATAAAGGTGTAATGTTCACAAAAGCTGGCCATTTGGTGACTCGGACATTTGCAATGGAACAGTAAGGAATAAATGACAGGTTGGAATTAGAAGAATAAAACCCCACATAGTCTAGGACTGAACTGGAAGAATAAAGCTCCAGACAGCAGTTGTAGTGACTGCTCAGTGCAGGACAGAAAGATGGGGTGGACAGTGGAAACTCAACTTGTGTGCACGGAGAGTTTTGTTGGGAAGCACAGAAACATGTTTGCGATGTAAAGAGTAAGCACTGTAATAGAACAATAATCAATAAAAGGACAAGGCAAGGGATGAGAGGCACAGAGGAACAGAAGACAGCCTCCAAGAGAGATGGAGAGCTTAGAGCCAACTGAAACATCTGTGTTAAGGCAAGGAAAAAAGATAATAGAAGAAAGAGATGGCAAGCAAAGGAGAAAGCAATTATGCTTCTTTTTATCTATTCTCTGAGGGGAGACACTGTGTAAAGATCTTGCAAAGGGTAAGGAACAGAAATGGAGATTTTATTTTATTTTTTTTTTGAAATTATCAAAAGGTGGTGAAAATGCAGCTGGTATTGTATGTTTTGGACTGCTGAGGTTTCTTTAGTGAGCAGGGTGGCAGAACTGAAGGAGGGAATTTTTCTATGAAGGAAGTCAGCTGGGTCGTGGGATTTCCTCTAGAAATACTCTACAATACAGGCATAGGAGCAGAGGAAGCAGATGTTGGAAGCGAGCCAGACCTGAGGTTGGCAGAGTGACGCCTGCAATAGGAGCAAGGGAAAAAAGGTGGAGTGGAGTGGTATTAAGATAATCAACAACCCCATTCTTAGGGGCAGGGAGGAGATGAAGTCATAAACTGTTAGTCTGAAACTCAAGGGAAGATGGAAGGATAAAGTGAGCGAGAAGGAGCTGATGGGGCAGATGATGGTTGGCAATAAGGCGCTCAGCAACAGAGACACAGGAACCCCTATCCTGGTTTTATCACTTGATCTGATCTAGTGAACAGACTGTTTGATGTATGAGAAACTTGAGCACATGATGAATGACGATGTAAAAATCGAATCGGTCTTAACATAGGAGTTACAGTGGCCAAACAGGGGTGTGGAAGACTGCAAAACAAGATTAAAAAATGAAACAAACAAACAAAAACAACAAAAAACACAGAAACTGAAATTCAAGCAGCTGGCTGATGACAAGACACTGGGTAGACAGCCTGTGGAAAGCAAGACAGAGGACAGAAGGTGGGGTGCAGTGCTGTTCAAAGCCTAGAAAGAAGAGGAATGCAGAAATTTGAAATGACAAGGATAGAAAAAAACAGCTTGCTCTTTCCTTAAACTACATGAAGTGGAGAAGCAACTGAGCCAAATAATCACCAGAAGAAACAAGGCAGTAGTGGACAATACACTTCCCTTACTTTCATGTCATTTTCCTGCATTAGTGGTAGAGACTGGCAGAGAGGAAACACCTTTTCTGCTTTCTTCTCCATCCTCTTAGGCTCTTCTGTCCATTATTTTTACCTTGTAACATCTAATGAAAAGGATCCACAAAGGCCCACCTTATTTCCCTGCACAGTTCTATAGTGTGGCATGCCTGAGATTTTTGTTGCTTTGTGATTTGGGATTTTCCAGAGCCCCTGAGAACCTAGTCCTTTTGCTTGAAGAACACAGACATCAGGACTGAAGGAACATGGTTAGTTGGGCAGCTGAAAACCCAGAAAATAGAGGATAGAAAGAACAATCTACATGTTAGCCAGATCATTTTTTGACTAAGCTCTGAAGTAGTGAACGAAAGAGACTGCATTAGTTGCTGCATCCTGACATAAAATAGGAAGATGGTGAGGTTGCTGTAGCAGCAGTTACTAGTGCCACAGATCTCTGGCAGTGTTAGATAACGGATAATTGAAACTGTTGTGAGGGCATCAATGACATTCGTATTTTTAACTTCAGGCTCACACAGATCGGGTTTTGCTCTGCCAGCAAAGAAAAAGACCATGTTTTCTGTAAATGTTTACTTTGTGTTCAGTGTTTTAAATATTTATGTCTCAGTTAAAATGCGGTAAAATATTAAATATGTCAACCTGCATGCATTATATGAATATTTGAACAAGGTACACCATTCATCAATGGCTTGTGCAACAGATGTTGCACCTACAGCCAGCCTCCCATATTACTTAGATTCCACTGAACAGGCCTTTATGTGTTAGGACACTATCTGTTAGATACTTATCAGCTACACTCCTTTTTATTCTACAAGTGTGCTACAAAAAAACAGTCAACAACATCAAAAAACAAAGCAGCATCAACAACACAAATCCAAAACCCGGCAGCTGTAATTGCTTCTACACTTACCTCACATCACACAATTCATAGTATATGTTTCTGCTCTCATCCTTGATGTAAATGGCCACACTGGGCGATTCCAGCATTTTCATTGTCAGCTGCTGGGGGAAGGCACTTACAAAAAGGGCACGAATTGTGTCTGTGCTTGTGATTTCATTTGGCATCCTCAACTGCTTTGTTTCGTCTCCATACTGAAGATACAAAACACCTACAAGCAAAATATAATAGTAAATTTAATATTCTTAAGTGCAGAGAAATCATCTGCCCTTCCATGTAGGACACAGACCAAGCCCATACTGAGCAGAGAAAAATCAGCTCACACCCCTTGCTCATAAAGCACATACAAAATTTTCCTTTTCAACACAATATTGGAGTAGAGCATTGAACACTGATAGAATTGTGCCCTCATGAATATGCTTGCTCCAATGTTGCACTTTGCTGAGAAGCCTATTTTTACTGTTTTTCAGTTAGATAAATTAGAAGTTTACCTTAGGAAGGCCAATGGAAAATCCCAAACACACCAAGTCTGCTCTACAGGGGAAGGTGTTGGTAAATCACAAGGTACGTTTATTCTTAATGTAGTTGAGTAGTTGAGGAAGACCTTCACCATTTTATATCACCCAGTTACCATTAAACATGAATTTTGCATTTTAGCCTCATGCTTACTGAACAGTCTCCCCCAGAAACAGAGTTCCACTTTAACACTAGCAATTTTATATTTAGAGTTCAATTTTCTGGCGTTACATAGTATAAAGCCCCAGGTGAAACTCCTAGCAGGAGTAAAACTGAGGTCTCACAAATAAACAAGAGCAATTTCAGATCCTTTCAGTTTCACAGCAGTATTAATAGGCATCCTGAGCACTCGGTGAGAAACATGAATGACCTTAGGATGCTGGGTTGCAAAATGTGGATATTCTTATTCACTGAAGACAAGAAGTACACCATTCTGACGTAGCTAACTCTCTGTTTTCAAGGAATGGGAGGCTGTAAGGTGTTGGATAATGGAAACAACATGGATCATACAGACCAGGGATTCAGTGAAGGGATACCCAGTACACTTTCCATCCTGTCCGTGTTGTGCATATAGTATAGCCACAGTATATACAGTGGTTGCCTGTATTCCACTGGCTGCTGCCGTACTGCAAGTTGGAGTCATTAGCTTTGCGACAGCACAATCCCATTCCATCTCAAGCTACAAAGCCCACCAAGGACCAAAGCACTGAGAACAGAGACCTCAACGATCAGCAGAAGTCAGACTGGACTTGGTGTGGTTGATTAGCTGTGACCATGCCACACCTGAAGACCACCAGAAGGTGTTCTCATGAGCATCTCCAATGTAGGAAAGCTCATCAGGACCTGCACAGAAGAGAACAGGCTGCTACCACATGGTTGCAACCAAAGTAAGAACATTCCTGGGATCCACAGCACTAGAGATTAGGTGCAGAGGCAAATGCTCAGCTGAACTACTTTGAGTACAGAGGAAAAGGGAACTGGCAAGCCCAGCTGAGCCTGCATGTCCACTCCATACTACAAGCACAGATGTCCTGCCTGAACATGGATTGATGGGATCACATTGGGCTATTGCTCAGCCATCTCATGTGTCTCTGTACAACAGTGCTTGGAAGGAACACCTTTACTCCCATGCTAGCTGCAAGAGATAGAGCAGGTAGAGCTTTTGCAGTGGTGTCTAAAGACAGTAAAATGGTACATCATTCACTTTGCAGACACTTAGCAGGCCAAAATGAGATGGAGGACAAAAAAAAAAAGGAAAACATGCAGAAAAATAAGAAAAAAATACCACTGAAGTTTGTAGTTCCACCAGCTGTCTAAGATTTGGAGGTAACTGCTTTGTATGTGGTCCATAGGCTAACTAGCCCTAGGAAAGCATTGGTAAAAGGGATCTGCTCAAGAATTAGTGATTACAGAAGCATCTACACTAAAGTCACGGTAGTTCATACAAGCAAGGCAGTTTTACACCACCCAGTTTGGATGCTGCCAACACATAATGGCAGAAGCTCAGCATTCGGATTGAACTAATTGCTTCTGTCTTTTATTTTCAGGCAGACTTAGGGGCCTGAGCAGAGTTTTGTGCTGCCATGCATCTGCCAATAGCCAACAGAGGTAGGCTAAAACTAGGCAGGGTACTTTACACAAACTGAATTCACCACAATAATTGCATCATAGATGGACTGTGTGTTGTTGTATCGTGGTCAATACAAACAGGAGGGTTGGGAACACAAGCTCCTCAGTGCTGTTACCATCAGTCATCACCAAATCTCAGCAAATCACAAAACTTAGATGGTGACTCAAACATTCTCACATGAAAGTCATTAACAAGGGGACAACATTCCCATAAACTACCAACAACAGCTTAGAGTTGTGAGGTACAAACATTGAGCAAAAGCAATGGCAAAAACTGAAGTCCTAGAACATAAAGGCATTTAGTGAAAAAACAACAGAAGATATTTTAATCTAAGATGAGCTATCATAGTCCTATGTATTTTGTATAGTCCTTTGTATTTTTGTCACTATGTTGCTATAGAGGAATGGGTACATACTTAGGCAGATGTGCCTACAAGCAGTTGGTAAATAATTGTTTTTGAAGCTAGGAAAGGAAGATGTTAATTATTATGAATACTAAACAGACAGCTCAATATTACCTAACCATTATTTAATATTAGGCTGCTTTTATAAAACATTTTAAAAATAATTTTCCAACTATTATCAAGAGCTGATACTTCTTCTTTTATTAAAATTGACATCAGACCCCTTATGAATCCTACTATAAACTTCTATTTCCATTGGTTGGAAAAAATGTTTGAGACTGCAAAGTCATTGGTTTTATTTAGAAGGTCGAGGAAAATTTTCCTAAGAATTCTATTTTTGATGCCAATATTTCATGAGTTATTAAACTTTTTTTTTAATATTATTATTATTTCATTTTAATTTGAGACATCATTCATTTCTTTATGTTCTTTTAAGGTAAAAATATTTTTTTTAGTGCTCATTCAAATATTCTCTGCTGTGACACACCTTTTAGAATTCAGAAACTAACTATATTTGATTTTTTAAAGTACATGTTTTAAATGATTGCATTTAGTTCACTGTTCCAAGATGTGCATAAACATTCATTTTTGATGATAGCTTTCAGTTCTTAGGCAGAACACAAGGAACCTTCAATATTTTGTTACTGGAAACTTTCTTGGATTAAATAGCAAAAAAACATTTTTGGCCCAAAATACACACTTTTCATAGCAGCTTTGCAGGTGTGTGTTGACTCTCTTTTCTGCTTAGTTTAAAAGTTAGCTCAGAATGCAGAAAACACTGCTTTTGCATCTCAGGACAATAAATGGATTCTGAATATTGAGCTACTGAAACAATTAACATAAAAGAAATGTTAGAACTGAAAATATTTCTTGTTCATGAGTCTGAATTATTCCAGAACAGTCTTGACTCTGCCTGTCCTCAAATAGTCCCACAAAATATTGATCCAAAACAAAATTACAGTCATCTTTAGGTCTTTGATTTTCAAAGCAAATATGCATGTTATCCAAAAAAAATAGTGCCTTAAAACAGAGAGCTTTAACATACAAATCAGAGAAATGTTTTGACCACAATATTACTGTAGGGGTAAAATACACTGTCAAAGGCATAATAAACTCTCTTTTCCTTACTCCCCCTTAAGTTAGAAGCCCTTTAAAAAAACTACTGCCTTTCCTCTTGAGGTGTCTGATGCGTTTCATGATACAGCAATGCTTTAGGGCATTTCCTATTTGACAAAACTAACTGCTCACTCCTAAAAATCCTGTTTCAGCATGACAGGATATAAATACTTCCAAATTAATTCATTATTTTAAGTCATCCATGTTAGTTTTCTCACACACACCGATGGGCTGAAACTCTGAACTCTGAAAATACCCATGTGGCCAGCTTCATGGAAGCTGCTAGAGCTCTGAGGTGCCTTTTAGCTTCAGCTGAAAAGTTACTCCCTTGGAGAATTAAAGTAAGAAGAAATAGCATATAGCACAGGTACAGGTTTTGTTTGGGCACGAGCATATATGCCAGCAGAGCTGCTGGAAAGAAAGTTAAACAAAAGAGATGTTAATGTCTCCATGTACCCTAATGTTTCTCTTCACTTAAGCTTCTGTCACAATGGATTTACCTGAAACATGAAGATTGTGCTGAGCTTTAAACAACACAGAACAAACTGGACGGTTACATGCCCCACTAGTCTAGGAAGACAAGAAACACCAGGGTACATGAGAAATACACTGTGTAACAGCCCATGGTCCAGGACAGCCAACACCGTGGCTACCATTCATAGGTGCTCCTAGATGCTGCCAGGCCTGGGCTTTTCTACAGCTACAATCAAACTGCAGTGTTAGGTTTTCCCTTTCTTTATGCTGGTATAACGCTTTCAGAAACACCTCTGGAAATTCTGATTGTTCTTTATCCCATGGACAATGAATGGGTAGTGGCATTAAACACAGGCTATAGTACAAAACATTTGCATGTAAGCCAGGCCTTAGAAACTTAAACCTCTTTACAAATTGCTTCACAAAATTCCTGTCAACAGCAAAGTATGTTTTATAGTAGGGGAAATTAAACACCCAAGAGGTGAAAGGACACGTTCAAAGAAAGGCTTGCAAGCACATAATCCAGATCTTCTGATGATCACGCAACACACCACATGATCGCCCTTTCCTTCCTTGCATACAGAGGTCTTTCAAAAACAAACCGCTTTCTGCTCCTCCCTTGAGGAAGGGTCAGTAACAGAAGGACTTGCAAAACAGTCTTTCCCCTCAGGGCTGGTCTATATGCAAAGCAGCACGGTGTAATGAAAGATGTGCTGTTAACCTGATTTACATAGGCAGAGCCTCACACACAAGCTGAACCCACCAGGGCCTGGAGCATCCACCCTGAGCCTGTAGTTGTGCTAGCACTGCTTTGGGGACTGCCCATGCTGTGGCTGTGGCTCATGTAGACAAACCAGGCCCATGGCAAAGCGTTCAGCTCAGATGCAGCTGCCAGTGCAACAACAAAGTCTGTAGAACCCACTTATTTACTGAGAACATGTCTACGCAGTATAACAGCGAACCATAACTGAACTCATGGGGTCCAGGATGTCTATAGAGCTGCACCGTACCCTTAGCAGCAAGCACATTGACTCCTTAGTTGCAGGTGGCAAAGGCTTACTCCTCATGGCAA